CAGATATATATAGTATATATAGTTTAGTAAAGCACTAGTAATCCGTAAAAGTTGTGTATCTAATATATGTCCGTTTGAAAGCACATCCAATTGATCTCATATTTCTGCTGACAAACAAAATCTGTATTATTGGGCAAAATCTCACCAAAATTGAAGTTTACTTCAATTGCAGCATTGCTTCTCATAAATCATTTTTTTATGACAAAACACAATAATCTAATAAAAATAGTCTACTGTTTAATAAATTCAATTATATTGATCTCAAACACTTTTGTTGTTAAATTTACTTTTTCTTTATTTATTTTATATATCAATATATAGCCACTGAAAGTTTTTAATAATTGTATTACTTTATATTGTATTGATATAAATTTGGTTTCACAATATTTATATATCAATATATGATAGTCTGTTACGTTATATTTTATGCAATAGTTATTTATAGAACTAAAATCTTTGATATCTATTTAAAAATTTGAAATTTAATTTAATTTACAAGAAGTTAATCTGTTTGCATAACTGTAATTTTACAATTGATAAAACAATATTAAAAATAGAGACTAGAGTAAAGAAAATAAGTGAAAAATTTACAAAATCACACAAAATAATATAACATTGTTTGTCACATATTTGTTACCTTAAAAATATTTGATAAGATAATAAAAAATAAAATTACAAACTTTATTATTTTAGAATTATTAGTATAAGAAATTGTTTTGTTAAATAACTTTTAGAATTTATTTCTTTCAATTAATCAATGAAATTGAATTTTTATTATTACTATACTTTCATTATTATTATTAATATAAAAGTTTAAACATTATAATGTAAGGTATTGAAAAAAATATTTTAGAGTTCTTAAATATATGATATAATAAAAATATATAATCAATTTGTCTAATATATAACAGTAAAATATTGATTGTTAAATATGCAGTAAATGAACATAAATAAGAAATTTCTAATAAATTAAGAAAATTTCTCAAAAAAATTTCTCTGCAATCCTTATGTTAATATTGTTTTTTAGACTAATTTTTCATAATATATTTTATTATTATTATTCAATTGTTATTAAATGTTATAAATAAATAATGTTACATTTTTATATTTTTGTTTTTTAAGTATCTGCTTTTTTAATATTATTTTCATTAACTAAGTATAAATAATAATAATAATAATTTGTTAACAAGGTGGAATATTTATACTATACTATAAAATTCCATAGAATATAATTATATAATGTTTTAAAAATAAATTTACAATATTACGAATTTCATTAAATATAACTTATTAATAATACTGTATTATTACTTTATTATAATAAAATAAAAATTTATTTTAAATATTACAAATTTATCTATATTTTAAAATAGAGAAAACTATATAATTCAAGTGACTTTAAATATAATAAAAATCACAATGAATTCCACTTGACTTACAAAACGTTTCATTTATTTAATTTATATCTTAATGTTATAATAAAAGCACACAAAGTCCTCGACATAAGTAACTCATTTTTTTTAATCATTTTTGTTTCTTTACTACATATATATATCTAGTATACATAAAAACATTACTTTATTAATCATTTAAAATAAATTACATTATTCTTAAAGAATATATTTAAAATTTAAAAATTATTTACATAATATCATATAAGTATAAAATATAAGTGTTGATCAAAAAAATATATAAATTTTAATTAAATTTAAGTTAAACATAAAATAAATGTTTCTCTATTTTTTTATTAAATTATGATATAATAAAACTAAATTAAAATTTTATTTGTCTAAATTAAAATTGTATTTTTTTTATTTATCACTAATTTAATTAAAATTTTTTTAGACTTTTAAAATTAAACTGATATATAAATATATAATTAATAAAGTCTATTACCAAATAATAATAAAAGTAAGTATTATATAAGTGAAAGAATAAAAAAAAAATAAAAAACTAATTAGATTTAAAATTCTGATTAACTATAGATAGTAAAAGGCAACCAAAAATGTTAGTATAATACAATAGTTATTGAGTATATAATTTTGAATATAAATCAATTTTCAGTGACTTTCACTAAATAAAATTTATGATACATATATTATTTAAATGTTAATAATTATTATCTGATTGACTGAAATTTTAAATTAAATATTTTAAGCTAAAATTACATTTACTTAAAAGTAAGCGCATATACACTATTTTTAACACTATTAAAGTGCATGATTTATAGAAAATATATTTTCAGTATATACAGTATATATGATATATACAGTATATGTTATCAATTATTTGTAGACTTTATTTAAACATAACATTTCCGTTCTGTTACACTGACATTATATAATTTATGTTTATTTAACAATAGATTTATTTTCATTTAAAAGTAATTAATCAAATTTAAAAATAGTAAATCTAATGAAAAATATTATCAATAAAAAATGTAAGTATCATATGTTTTAAATTTACGTCAATATGTTTTAAGTTTGTTATACTGTATAATATAGTATGATGATGATAATTTTGTTTAATGGACATCTTAATGGATTAGTTAAAGTTAAAAAATAACAGTTTTAAGATAAATGTTTTTTTCAACAATAATGTTTCGCAAAGTTTTGCTAGAATTGTTTTATATAATAAATTTCGTTATTTTTTTTAAAAAAATCTTTATTATGTCCAAAAACAATAATATAAAAAATCTCAAAATATAATATTTATTTTTATATAAGTTTTTTTTGCTGTAAAAGCAATCTCTCTGCACTTACCTTTTAAATAGATATTGTTATAGAAATAAAAAATCTATAAATTTGTAATAATGTATTATATTATATTACATTACATTGTATCACTTTGATAATGATTTCAATAGATGTCTTAATATTTCATTTGTTAACATTTGTGACAAATAAACAATAATAAGAAATGCATTAAAGTTTCAATTAATACAACGTATTGTACTATATATTGAAAACAAAGACAACAAACTCGACACTGAATTGACTTTTATTTCAAGTCATTGAATGTCTGTTATATTAAACAACCGTTTGGTATGATATTGAATACACTTTCACTAATCTATTTATATGAAAGTTGTTGTATTAATAATTTACTGTAAATGTATTTCACAAATGTATATACAATTATGTTGTTTTTGAAAATGGAGTATACAGTAGTAAAACTATATTATAAACTATAATAAAAATTAAAACTTATTAAAACAAATTTATTGTTTGCTATCGTATTGATTCATTTATACGACTACTTAATAGGACAGGTCTTGATGTTTGTTGACTACTATATTAACTGAATCTTTATTCAATAACTTATTGGTAATCTTTATCTATTTCTTTAATTAGTAACCAATTGACTACAATGTGTCCATCAATGAACACTAACTACACTTTGGTTTACTCTTTCATTGATTTTAGTTATATTGAGTTAGGCGTTGTTCACATATTACGTTCGCACTTGAGGGGAGGGGGGGGTTAGCCAAAGCGAACTTTTGCGAACGAGGGTAGGGGAGGGGTAGAAACTAAACTTTAAGAACGTTCGCATTTAGATAATATCTTATTTCTTGTGGTGGGGGGGGGTAGCGGTTAGGGACATGCGAACGTAATTTTTTTAAATGACTACATGCGAACAATTGTGAACATAGGGGAGGGAGGGGGTCTAGATTTCTTAAAAAGTGCGAACGTAATATGTGAACCACGCCTTATAAAGTTTGTAGGCTTAGTATAAAGAGTTAGAGTTAATTCGTTAAATAAAATAATTAAAATATTATTGGATAAAAATATTTTATTGAATTTATTCTCAAAAATATTAATTACAATAAATATTGCTTTAAAATAAGGATTTAAAATATTTATTAAATATATTGACATATATTTGAGCTCATTTTATTTTAAACATCAATAAATATAACATGATTTTATAATAACAATAAAAAATTATGAATTCTTATGTTTTTTTTGTATATTAATTATAACATATATTGCAATTTAGTTGAGTAAACATATACTATATAATATCTTATACCTTATAAATTTATTTATAATATTAAAGTACTCTATATTATATATAGTATTTGTATAACAAGAGATCAATATTGTTAGTCAATGTGACGGCACAACAAAATTACTTGATATTCAAGTTTTTATTTTTCGAAAATCTAATAGTATTTTTAAAAGATCACAGTATGTGTTATGTGCTTACAGTATATATTAGCAAACAGTTTGGATTATTTGTATTATTTTGTAATGCAAAAATAATTTAATATAATTTATCATTTCTTATATTTAGATATATAATATAGTAAATGTTTAATAGACTTATATTATTCAACAATACACACACACACACACACACATACACACAGTATATTATCATAGTTATAATAAATATAATTTAGTATATGTGGTATTTATATGGTATTTTATTCTATTAAATTCTAATGTAAATTATATAACAACAATATTATAGTGGCATTTAATTTTCTAACAATATTTTAAATTTAATTTAACACTGGAATATATTTTTATAAGTATTTGAACATTAGATCACAAACAATAACTTTATGATAACTGAACACATGGTTAACATTTTTGCCTAAAAAGGTATCTCCCATACAATGTTGTGAATATATTTATATTATTCCTGAGTTCATATAAAAATTATGCTTCAATTTGACCGTATAATGTATAGTATAAAACATTTTTTTGTATTGTATGATAAATCATAATAAAACATATATTTTATATTAACTGATAACTGGGCGAGAATTGAGTTTCTGGTTCGTACAACATCTTAATATTCAAGTATAGTATTGATAAATGAAGAGTCGATTGCATTTATAATCAGATTCCTCAACAAAATTTTATATAACACTATATATAATACTATTCTAGTTATATAATAATTAAACAAATGGTAGTACATATGGCACACAAATGAAAGACCAAAAAAGCAGTTGTAGTTAAAACAGTAATGTATTTGTTGAGTAATATTTACTTTTTGCTATCATTTCTTCGCTCATAATGTGTACTAATCGACGGATTTCTGCTGTGATCTGACGATGAAATGTTGAGTGAATTGTTTGCAATGATTGGCCATTGAGTGGTATCAGGTGTTGCACTCGGCGTACGAGACATAAGTGCCGGAGATAGCGGTACATCAAAGTTGACGTGCAATCGATCCAAATTTCGTTGAAGAGATCGACTGGTTGTTGATATCTCATCCATGACTGCATCCCTGTCCCCTTCAAATACCATACGCGGAAAACAACATAATACCCGTCTGAAAGCTGTCTTAAACTCTTTGTTAAGATATGCATATATGGCTGGATTGAGAGCACTGATGCAAAATAAAATTTAAATTAAATATCAATTTATTTTACTTATTTTTTATACACTTATATTATTTACAAAATAATAATAATAATAAACATTAATAGCTATCATAAAGGAATTATAGTGTTGACGGTAGTAATGATGTAATAATAATAATAATAATAATAATGGATAAGCATTTGGATGAAAAAATAAAATTTAAAACTGTCTTTAGTTTTGCACATACCTATTAATATAGCCCAACCATGTAATGCCAGTTCGCGTCTCATAACTGATATCACAATATACACAATAAGCTGATATTACATACATTATAAAGAATGGCAGCCTATTGTACAATATAAGACATAAACACATTAACTTTATTACCAAATTTAAATTTATTAGATAATAATGTATAATACTATATATTGTCTATTATTATACTTTGTGTGAATATTATATACTATTAACTAAATTTTAATATAATAACCAAACATTATCTAAAGCTATTTTAGATAGTTTTGTGGTAAATAATAAAAAGTTTTAAAAATACAAAATAATGATAAAATTAAATTAAATAAATCTCTTAACTTAACGTAATTCTTTCAGATTGAAAAAATATCACTTAAATAGCTTTAAATTATAAATGAATATATTTTTATATATTTATATTAAATAATATCAATATTATATTGTATAATAAATGATAATAAATATATGATTAATAATACCTAACAATAAATTTGAATACAAGTGATACATACCAGCAAAGACAGAATACACCCATAACTATACCGAGAGTACGGATGGCTTTCGTATCAGTGATTAATTGTTTGGTTCGTCGTCTAAGACTACGCTCGACGTGTCGTTTGGCGTCAAACGTGTCTGAGTTGGCGGAAGTGGCGTCCGATTCACAAAGTAAGCCATTCTGTTGTAATGAAAGCTCCAATTGTTTGATTTCACGCGACTGCTTCTCGGCCACCAATAAAATACGGAAATATACGTAAAACATTATAGGAAGCGGTAGATAAAAGGAGGTTAACGATGACACCAATGCATACACGCGGTTCACCTGTCGTTTAATTGTTTTATACAAAATGTCGTTTAAAATATGTTTAGTTTATAAACTGACTTTTAGTTATAAAAATATTTTAACAGAACATACCTTAAGTGAACAGTCGGAAACATCTGTCATTAGGAAGATATTTGTTATCTTTTCTGAGTGATACCAACCCGTGAAGATTGGGATGAATGATATAGCGGCTGAACAAAACCAGATGATTGATATACAACAAAATAGTCGACGTTTGCTTATGTATGTCCGGTATCGAAGTGGACGAGTTATGGCCCAAAATCTATTAAAGTTTTTTTCATTATTTTGTTTGTTTTGTTTGTATAAATTTATATACTGTATAATAATTATAGTTTATTAATATAGAAATTTATTTTATTAAATCAATAATTTTTTTACTAAAATTAAACTATCTAAATATGAAATATCAAAATTATTCATATATTAAATAAATAATTTCTAAGTTTGATAAAATATACAGTATATTCAACAATAGTATAAAAATAACTTTTACATAAAATTATTTCTAATTTATTCATAATTTTATATTTAATGTAAAAAATATATACTATGCCTTAGGTAACACTTAAATTACAATTAACATAACATATGTAATCTCTGTGTAGATTCTCTCACTTCAATTAAATCAAATTTTCCACACAATTTAACGATTAAACTCTTAAATATAATAATTAATTTTAAATAAAATGTTTATAACTTGAAGCATATTAATTTCTGTGTGAATAAATTTAAAATACTGTAATAAATTAATAAATATAAAAGTAAATACAGTATATGATTTTAGTTAATAAATTATAACATAAACTGTATGTCAATTACTATATAAACCAATCTATTAGACAATCATTTCACTAGTATTATACAACATATGTAGTTTTGATAATATTAAATATAACATCAAATTTTGATTTTTTTTTTAAAATATCGTTATAAATACGTATGTGTGTATGTGTGTATGTGTGTATGTGTGTATGTGTGTATGTGTGTATGTGTGTATGTGTGTATGTGTGTATGTGTGTATGTGTGTATGTGTGTATGTGTGTATGTGTGTATGTGTGTATGTGTGTATGTGTGTATGTGTGTATGTGTGTATGTGTGTATGTGTGTATGTGTGTATGTGTGTATGTGTGTATGTGTGTATGTGTGTATGTGTGTATGTGTGTATGTGTGTATGTGTGTATGTGTGTATGTGTGTATGTGTGTATGTGTGTATGTGTGTATGTGTGTATGTGTGTATGTGTGTATGTGTGTATGTGTGTATGTGTGTATGTGTGTATGTGTGTATGTGTGTATGTGTGTATGTGTGTATGTGTGTATGTGTGTATGTGTGTATGTGTGTATGTGTGTATGTGTGTATGTGTGTATGTGTGTATGTGTGTATGTGTGTATGTGTGTGTATGTGTGTATGTGTGTATGTGTGTATGTGTGTATGTGTGTATGTGTGTATGTGTGTATGTGTGTATGTGTGTATGTGTGTATGTGTGTATGTGTGTATGTGTGTATGTGTGTATGTGTGTGTGTATGTGTGTATGTGTGTATGTATGTGTGTATGTGTGTATGTGTGTATGTGTGTATGTGTGTATGTGTGTATGTGTGTATGTGTGTATGTGTGTATGTGTGTATGTGTGTATGTGTGTATGTGTGTATGTGTGTATGTGTGTATGTGTGTATGTGTGTATGTGTGTATGTGTGTATGTGTGTATGTGTGTATGTGTGTATGTGTGTATGTGTGTATGTGTGTATGTGTGTATGTGTGTATGTGTGTATGTGTGTATGTGTGTATGTGTGTATGTGTGTATGTGTGTATGTGTGTATGTGTGTATGTGTGTATGTGTGTATGTGTGTATGTGTGTATGTGTGTATGTGTGTATGTGTGTATGTGTGTATGTGTATGATATGTATAATTATATAATAATTGTGAATATGTTGATTAGTATTTGGCCCATAATGTTCATCATATAAGTTATTTAACCCATTCAAACCATCTGAAACATTTGCAAATATATTTAAACAAAACTTAAAGTTATTGACGATTTCGTCTGGCAATGCTAGTCTTACTTTTTTCAACTGATTTTATATAAAAATTACTTTTCATATATAATATATCTATAGTTTGTTTGATTTAAAATAAATATTCTTTATACATAAATTTAAAAATTTAATGTATAATCATATCTTATTATATAATAGCAAAGATATTCATTAAAAATATTAAACAAATACTTTTTATGTGATAGTTTTATTTGCTTAGTTGTCGCTATAAAATATTATTATTTTTTATCAAAGCTCTCTTTCTCAATATTATAATGCTTTCTCTTTAATATTTAATTATAACAAAAATAATTAATTATCTAAGTAAATATATATATATATATTTTTGTTTGATTTTGTATTTTTAGATAAAAATTTAGTACTATTGTATATTTATGATAAATATTTATTACTTCAATCAATATTTTTTATTTAATTAATCAAATTATAATTTTGCTTAGATTTAGCAAATAAATGAAAAATGAAAATACGTTACATTACAAAAAGTTAACTATTTTGAAATATTGAAAATGAACTAATATTTTATTGATAAAAATATAATGTTAGTTATCAACAACAAACATTTTTAACAATGATATTAGTAAACTAATGATAATATAAATGAATAATAGTAAAAAATCATTGTTAACAGATATAAATCTGAAAATTTACTGATTTAATGTTAGTTTGCATTTTGTCGATAATATTAGAGTTTAATTGAAAATTTCTAACAAAATAGGAAATAGATTTCCGATTATAAGCCAACATTAGTATAACATATTAGAGTTTATATTGAAAGTTAAAAATGTTATTAAAACTGTTTAAATATTGAATTATCACATCAGTGAATTGTTTTTAAAAAAATAGATTAAACATTAATAGCAAAATAGTAAAATATAAATATAGTCAATAAAAATATTAATATTTTTATAAAATAAAAATGAATGAAAATTTTTCTTATTTTTATTGTATTTTAAATATTGTAATAAAAAGTCTATTTTAGACTTAAATTAAATTACATTGTAATTACAAAAATTATATATTTAATTTATAAAGATTGCATTTTTAAATTTCAAGGTTGACATTTATTTTATTATATTAGATAAAAAGCTATATTAATTTATTATATTTAATTTTTATACAATATAAAAAAATTATCATTAGATTCTTACAAATTTTAATACATGAATATATTTTTAAAAAGTTATTATTGTTATTAAAATTGCAAAATATTTCAATATTTAATATCAAATTTTTAAATATTTAACCCTCGAGAATTTTTTGATAATAAAGTATATTTAATGTCTATATTTTATGACACAATTGCCATATAGTGATGTTTATATACAAAATATTTTGTTCATACGATATGTTTAGTAATAATATATCTAATATTGAATAGATAAAGTAAATACAGCATATTATAATAATATAACTTATATTACATCATTATACAAATTTTAATAACTTTTGATTAGAAATATTGTATTGTAATTGTCTAACATTTTGTGAATTAATAGATGTTCAACATTTTTTACTGATTTATTTTTATTATTAACACAATGTCTTGAAGATAGTTATTTTTAAAATTTTATTTTTATTTATTTGAAATTTTTTAATAAACAAAATAACAAATAATGTAATAATAATTTTAATGATTCATACATGAAAAGCTTTATCTTTGAAATTCAATATATTGTAAAATAAAATATTTTATCTATTGATATCAATCATTAATAACAATATTATGATTAATGAAAATCTATTATCTAGTATCTAAATCAAACAAATATTTAATAAATAGACATTATTTTCTTTAGTTAACTATAATATAACGATTATTTAATTATATAAATTTTAACTAATCAATGGTATAAATGTTTGGTGTTAACAAAATTTAATTAAAGGTATAGCATATATTGAAATGATTTGTAATAATACAATTGAGTGGTTATTACTGACGAAATTTTTTTTCAATTGTTACTTAATATGTCCTTCAATAAGTTAAAGTCCCAATTAAAACACTTTCTATACCTATAATACAATACAATAATAAAGTATACAATATTATATTCAGTATAAATACTTATATAATTTTTAATCTCTAGTATACATATATAATATTATTAAAGCTATTATTACTAGTAATATAATTACTATATACTATTAAAAATTATAATAAAAAATTATATTATTCATTATAATTTACAGTACATATTAAATTACATATTATTTATTAGTATTGACAATGTTAGTGATTGTAATTATAATGTATTTTTGGTGTATTATTATATAAATTAAAAACTATTAAAGATAATTTTTTTTGATAAGTGTTTTTATGTTTTCAGAAAATTTGAGAATACAATTGTCGAGATATTAACCGTGAAATACTAGATGATAGTATTAGATGTTAGTGTATATCATTATAATAGTACAGTATATTGTAATTATTTTTAATATAAAAATAATATCTAAACAGTGGTGTGACATAAAAGAAAATATTATTAATATCATGACATTTATAAGACATTATGATTCCTGATATATTAATTATTATAAATTAGTTTATATTCAAACATTAGTTAAACTAATGTTTTTGCTTAGAAAAGGAAAACATTAATGTCTTTTAATGCATTCAATACGTTAAGTAATAGTGTTGTGTAAAAATTGAATGAGAAATCCATAGGATTTTGATATATAAATGATTGGTTCAGTTAAACGGACACTGATATCATCAACAAATTTATTGTTGTTTGCAAAGTGTGAGTAAATTGCTTATAGATTGTCAGGGATTATACTGATGAGTGACATCACTAAATCATTTAATTCAATCAATAAAAATGTCTATTTTATAAATAATTATATAAATACAATATATTATTATAATTATATTTTATTGAAATAAGTTTATTTAATTATTTAATATAGTGTTTACTTTTTTATTTAATACTGTAAATGATTGCTAATATTTTTGTATAATTTTATTTTTGTTAAGATTTCAATTATTTATAAAACAATATATTATATTATTTCTAGAATTTTATGATTTTAAAAATTATATTTGTGGTTAACTTAATAATTCAAGTTAGCGTCAAAAATATCTAAGATATCCTAAACTATTAATTATATAATGTTTCACATATTTTGACATTAAATTTCTTTTACAATCACATCTTAAATCTAAATATATAAAATTAACAATAGATTTTTAAATAGTATTAAAAATTAATT